GTCATATGTAGTTTGCTGGAAACATGCTTTCATAACATAATATTGTAATTGTGTCTGAAAATCCATTCACTATATCAATAAATACTATCAAAACAGTATATCAGGACAAAAACACAAAACTTATTTTCAATTGCTTGATACATATTTTAGATAAGTTAATATTTTCTAGATAGATATTTGCTAAAGTATCTATCTAATGATTCCAATATCTCCACCTAAGCCCTATTTATTTGCATCACGCCTATGCTTTACGATTTATATACACCTAGTCCACTAGGTAACATATCACTAGGTATCTTACTCATGTCTGTCTCCATCAATTACTGGAATGAAACTTTCACATTGCTATAGAAATCTTCTCCATTCATTGCTAAGAGGTGATTTTAGTGTGTTGAAGTCTCATACTATGACACGAAAAAAAGATCCTAATGTGTCGATTGAAGAAATATACGAACACCTTTTTATCAAAATGATAGTGGATCAAACGCCTAAAATGGGGTCTTTATGTTAGCTGTATTTTATAATATGTTTTTACTTTTTGTCGTATTACAACGGCTATGTTTTGTATTATCCAAATGAATTTATTTTATATGAGACACGTTGTTATGGATATTAATCTATTTACTTATTATAACTTATAATAACTTATTTATAATATCATATATTTATCTTTAATGAACGTTATAAACTCATTATCTCTTACAGTTCATATTAAAATATGTAACATATCATTGTCTATAAAAAACCACACAATAAATAATGTATAATCTATATAAATCTAAATAATCTATTATAATAATAATCTATAAAAAAAGCATTGCTGGTAAATTATTCGTATTGTTAATAAAATTTGATCTCTCAATCTAAGTACAAACTGCCTACAGTCATAAAACTGCATTTATTTCAACAAAAATATATTAAATAAAATAATTTGAAGCATAGCTATATTCTACCTAATAAAATTCACTACATAACTAATGAAATGAAACGTTTTTACCAACAAGGGTTTTCAATAAATTGCAGGACGAAGGATCCATTGTGCTTTATTTCGACATACCACAACTGCAAATTTCTGTAAATTTTCGTTCAACACTGAAATGGTCAAATCGTTGCAAATGCAATTGATTTGCATTCAGTTCGAATTGAAATTAACCACAACACTGGTACATATGTTTCCGATTAGATTGGAAGAGGCGAAAGATATTTAAAATACTAATTTAAAATGATTTTATCACCCCCACAATTGCACTAAATAAAATGAAATAAAATTGTCTAACTGCGAATAGAAAAATAAGTGAATTGCTTTGGTTCAGAAAATTTAATTAAATTCGTTAACTAAAATTATTTGATTTTAGCAAATGTTTAACATTCTACTCGTATCTGTAAATTGTTTAAAAAAAGTATCTAAAATACTTTTGCGGCTAGTACAGTAAAAATGTTTTCCGTGTTGCTCATTCATTAGAAATTAATTTTTAATTAGTTATGTGAAAATAATTTCATACTAAGTTTTGTAAAATATTTTACATAATAATGTTTAAAATCCTCATTTTAAAATATATTTTTCTGAGCACAATTCAAATGATGACTTTATTTAAACGCCAAATAAAAGATGTATTTATGGACTCAATATCGAAAACGTATAGTATCTAGATCCTACCATACTATGTCGGTACATGTCTGATTGCAAACAATCAAAATCACCATTAAACATTTACAAAATTACCAGAACATAGCACTGTTAAATATTTTAAAAGCCCCATAGTATATTGATAGATATACACAGGGACGCACGAATTGGCAATAGTTAAATATTTATCAGAAATAAAATGTATGGGCATCAAATTACAACATTCTCTAACATTCCCAAACGGCAAAGTAACCCAATAATAAATAAACAGATATGCAGATAATCGCTTACTTATATTTTTAATCTAGGTTTGCAACACTGGGATATAAAACTTACCTCTAATCGTCCACCCACAACTTAAACTAAAGGTACTGTTCAAATAAGAGCTGAGTATAATATAGAACGATCTCTGTAATCAAAAGGCATATTAACCTTATAATAGGAAAACGACATGCAGATTTTCGCTGCATTTAAACTTTTGCTAACATTGACTATTGAGACTTAACTATTTTCGTTTACCAGCAGTAAGGACTTAAGGTGGTCTTTGAACTGGAACTAAGCATAATATAAAGCAATCTCTGTACCTAAAAGGCATAGTAATCCTGAAATTGAAGGATTATATATACTATTATATTTAATCTTATTTTATAACAATGACCACAGACACTTAACTGCATTCGTTCACCAACACTAAAGACTAAAAGTACTAACTGAACGAAAACTCTTCAGAACACTTTTCAGTTCATTTTTTAAGTCTCTGAGTCGGTGATAAGCGAATCGTAAATTACGAATCGTAATCTGCATAAATTTCAACCATTCCTGAAAACAGACTTTTTGAGTTTGTTAGTTTTCAGGTATTTTTTTTGGTGCTGATCGTATTTTGCAAGATGTCTGACACCTAAAAGTTGAAAAACCCGGTTAGAATTTTATTTACTGACAATAAAGTCAACTGCGTGATTGAAATAAAATATAAAAAGTTGTCTCTAGGTTACTTGGTAGGCATGTGGTTTGGGTTCTTGTTAAAACTAAGACTCTCTTTAATCGAATGTTGTCTTATAAATAGTTTCAGAGAATCTGGTTTTTGTAGTTTCTCTTTCCATTTCTTTTCGTTGCTGTACGGAAATTGTTCAATATGTGGGTATATTTTCTAAACCCCTTCGGCTACAGTGTCAATTTCGGTAAGATCACCAATTTTGTAACATTTCGAGTTTGTTATAGCTATTGCTGGAGTTTGTTATTTGTGAAACGGTATCAAATATTAATTGTTCTTGACATCGAATCCATATCTCTTATGATTCGCGATAAGGAAGATTTGACATATTTAACGACTCTAACAAAAGTCACTTGAATAAAATGACTTAAGTAAAATGTTGTTATACAACTCCATTAGTAACATATTCCATCACTGATTACACTGATATGGACTTGCTATTATTAGAAAATAAAATCACCTCTGATTACACTATATGTAGTCCATGGTTGGCGTCTATTGAAAAGTAATAAAGCTTTAAAATTAGTTGCAGGCCCAATTCTTACTTACTTAATGGGCCATTATAGACCTGGGTCGTTCTTGGTCTTGTCGATTGTATATGAATTCTGTATATGAATATATAATAGCTGAAATAGTTAGTGAAACATAAAGCATTTATTATATATTAAAAATTTTAAGTTAAATAAAAATTAAATATGTTTCATGTAGAATATTGTTATGCATGTTGGGATTAAACTGCTTCTACTAATTTGATTGAACATTTTTCTATTCATCATAATTTTACTACATTTACTCTATTTGATCAACAATTTAAATTTCACAGCTGCATAAATTAAATCTTTCTGTTGCCTCAACGACTAGTCAGCAAGTTGAATACAATTTAACGCATGATTGTTGTGAGAAAATACACACTAACAGAAAGAGTTAAAAGAATTCATCAGATTCATATGTATCCATCAGACTAGCTTCACATGCAGTTACTGTCAAAATATTCCAAAAAGAAAAGAGAAATAGCAGATTTCAAATTCGACAATACAAAATGCCAGAACTGCACGAATTGCTTTGTTTTATTGTCGGAGTAGAGAGTTTTGCTTTTCTGCACCAGAAATGCCTCGATTTCAATTTTCCAATTTCTGCAGGCAATATCAGTTGATGTGTGGCAGTATGGCATAATTTAGCACTTTTCATGGAGTGATCCAAACTGAAAAGATGCAAAAAACAAAAGACTCTGTTCTACTACTAGCAACTGATTGCGAAACATTTCATTTCAAACTGCCGATAGTGCTTCTTCTTGATTAAAATAATTCTGCAATATGAATCAAATTTTAAACATTTTTAAAGTAAAAATTAACTAAATTCTATACATCTTTTAAATGTAAACAGAAATCAAACTAAATCCAGATAATCAAACGAAATTATATTGTAATATTGCAATCAAATAAATTTATGTGAGTAGCACATATTTAAGTTCAAGTTAGTAAATAAGTATAATAATAAGTATAAGTATATATATGTATAATAACACAAGCTAGAAGTTTAGTTAACATATTAAATATCATTTTCATCTCACATTGTTAATTACTAATGGACGACTTATCGTACATAAGTCATTTTACTAAATACAGTCAAACACTTTATCTAATGGTTGAGGCAAATTGTCGCAATGAAAATTATTTCATTGAAATATTCATAATGCAAATTCATTTGCTGTTTGAGTTTTACAGATTAAAAGATATGTGCATTTGTCAAATACATTTTATGTGCCACTCAATAATGTACAGATTATAGTGAATACTATATGTGCCACGTTATGTACATGGTGTATCGCATTGCAGTACTTTGACTTTGGGATTTGATTGCTTAGTATAAGAAACCTAAAGAATTCATTTCCAATATTAACCGAATTTCAAGGTATCAATAAGTCACATATTCATAAAGAAGATTTTGTCGAAAATCTCCAAAACGCTTTAGATTGTTGGAACAAAATAGTGGGGCAAATCAACTACATTAAGCACAGACTCTATAATTTTCCATGCGAAATTCTCTGCTATGATAGATACTTTTAGAGGAGTCAATTAGTTCTCCAACTCTTAACAGTCCGAAAACGAAAAGACGGACCTTTATTCCAAAAAAGAGGCAAATTCCACCCCCTTCCTTGGCTTCAATAAAAAGAACGTAAAACATGAGACCAAAAAACAAATAAGATAAGAATGAGAAAATATTGGAATAACACAGACGGTCTAAATCATTACAAAAAATTTTTGAATTTTAATGCCGAAAGAGCAAACATCGTTTTATCGCAACTATTAAATATTGCAAAATAAAAAAGATATTATTGACATTAAATGTTATTATTTTTTTTCCATATATTTTCCGTACACTGTTATCGCTGAAAGATATACATGATCCAAAACATCAATGTACCTGATAAAGACTCAGCATACTAACAAATTATTTTATTACAAATTTTTTAAATTTACGTATTAAAATATGTGGCCAACATAATTCTTAAAACTAAATTACTAAAATTAATATTACTAAAATACTAAACTAAATTATAATTTAAAATACTATATTTGCGTTTAACCAATCAAGATGTTTTGCCAAATCACAAAACACAACAAATTCATTTAAATAGCATTCACCATCTAACCGCGGTCCGTCAGATACAATACCTCGTAACGACCAATGTTTATTTTTTCTCATCATTATACCTGAGCCAAAATCACCTGTGCAAGGACCAGGAATCACTGCATTGGACGCACAAAATGTTCGTGGTGAGGTAATTGTTTTGAATTTATCAGATGAGCTCAGGCACTCAATATTATTAACAATTCTGGCGAAGCCTACCTTTTGTGTTGTGTTAGCAATGCTGTCACTCTCTGTTGAATTCCAGGACAATATATAAGCCAGTTTGTTAACAATTTTATGCAGCTCAGTCGATTCATTCCATAAACAAATTGGATTAATATAATTGGAAAAACTGTAATAAATATGAAATCAATCAAATTGAATATTCTGTTTAAAGACTGTATCAAATGTATATACATTACTGAAGAAGTTAAATGCAGTAACGCAATGTTTGCATCCGCAATTAAAGCAGATGTATAATTGGGATGTATTATTATTTTTTCTACACCAAAATTAAAGATTTGGCTGTCAGTTGCTTTAATACCACCGCCTAGCTTGACGATCATTTGATCTGCCATCACAGATTCTGTGTCAAAACAATATGCTGCGCTGATCACAGTGCGCGCTGATATAAGTGAACCACTGCAAATGAATTTTAAAGTGTCATTTCTTTTCAAGTATATAGCCGCGAGCCAAGGAAACTGTCCAGTAGTATCATTAAATCTGACAATTGGTATGAGAACATCGTTTTCTCGTCCACAAGTTCTCTTATCCTTGGATTCTTCACTATCATCATCATCATCTTCATCATCGGTGTTCAAATTTCCAAATCCCCCCGTGAAATGTTGAGAATGTGTAGCGCTGTACCATATTCTATTGGATCGAACTGAAAAATAAGTTTGTAGTTCGACTTACATAGATGATACGCTTTTTTTTTTAATTATTAACTATATCGGTGTTAATATTGTTATATACATTACCGTTACCGTTGTTGGTGGTACAAATTATTTTACCATTCACTTTTATATACTTTAATAGGGGAATTTCCGTTTGACCCGGAAAGTCAAAACGGTAATAACTTGGTTTGCCCTCCAAATGGTCCAAAATGGTTTCATCTAGAGTTTTGTATGGACTCAAACCAAAAACATTCTAAACAACATAAAATCCATTATCAAAATATCATTTTACATAATATTCATAATTACATATTGTATAGGTGGTTTCTGCGAAACCGAAACACTGACTTCAAATTTTCCATCGTGAAATAGGTAATGAGGAATTTTTATTTTTCCAATAGTTTTGTTATTTTGCTCTTCGTATCTAAAGTAATTAAAGCAATTGTGTAGCTTCTGTAATGATAAGTCTCTAGATGAAGAGATTAAACTGCCTAATATAAGTTGAAGAACTGTAGTTATACTTGGTGCAGGATCTAGAACAAATCGAATATAGAAGTTGTAATTATAAATTATTTATATTACTTACAGCCAACGTCAGAACAAACTGTATTTTCATTTACAGTTATTTTGGTAATCTTTGGATATTCCGTTGGACTTGCAAATATTAACCGAAATTCTATTGGTTTATTCTCGTAAATTTTTCGAATTGAATTGTCGATGCTTTCAACTGGTAAAAGATTATATATAAGCTAAAGAATATGAAATGGAAAAAATTTTTTAATACTCGTAAATACTGATAAAACGATAAAAGTTTTAAAAATAAGAAAAATTTATAAAATGTGTATTTAAACAGATAATATGATTAGTAAAGAAAATTTATTAAAACATATTGCATTCACAGAAAGTCACTATATGATGTGGTGTTTGGTCTAGAGCCCATTACATTTTTAGAAATAAAAAAAGTGTTACCTACTCTGTCGGCATATAAGAAATATACATCTGAAGGCTAAATGGTTTCAATAGCGATGAAACAATAATCACATAGTTTTCTGATTTGGTAAGCTTGAAACAAAGTGCTTCCTGATATGTTTTATCATTTTTTGGTGATATGATTGTATCAATTTATCACCATTGCACTGTCTTTTTTTGGTGTGCTGTGAAGAAATGTGTTTATGGGAAACATTCTCAAATCAAACATCCTTTGTACACTTTGTAAACTAACATCTGTTCAGTTCTAACCTAGTTAGGTATTGTCAATTATATACAAAAAATTAACGAAAATCACTGCTAAAGGATACAGTACAGTTGAATGTTCCACCGAAAACATTTCAATAATGTTGAACTTGGTTTTTATTATTAAAATTCAAATAATACGCGGAAATAAAATTTAATGGAAATCAAAATCAAAATGCTTAAACAAACATTTTGTTTAAGTTTACTTTCGGAATTACAAAATGGACAACTTTGTTTAACACACTTGTCCAGAATTTTTATAAATTTAATGGATTTCAAATGATTGCCATTTTTTTCATATATGAACTCCTTAACCTATTACTCAAATATTAAATTTATTATCACATCTTTGTTACCAACTATCAATATGAATTTTTATGTAAGACAACACGATCTGATATCGTCCTTAGCCTTAGCAAAAACGGATAGTAGTTTGTCTTCCATTTGTCTGGTTGTAACTGTGAACTCTGCTTCTTTAGGCAAAAAACCCGTAAGATCTATTATTATTTCACAGTAGTTTTTTTCATTTGTATATATCAGTGATAATATCTGCTTAAAATTGTGTCCAGATCATAGTGTCCTACTAATCTTATAAAAATGTTTCGATATACAATCCGCTATTTAAAAACATTTATTTGAAATTGCTCATTTAAAAAGAGTAATTAAATCAAACTTTTTTCCACTAAGTATGAGCTTAAGCATCATACTTAGTGCTAGTGGAGCAATGTAAGTTTTGATTGTGTCGTTACTGTATAAGAATTTCAAACCACTAATTATGCTGTGGTTGCATTAGATTTACAAAAATTATTACGAGAGTAAGTCAGAATGATTTTCAATTTCTACAACTTCAATTTTGTGTCAGTTCTACTTATATACTAAAACTAAAACAAAGCACTCTTGTTAATTAACTGAGTATATGTGTTGGGAAAATCCGGAAATAGAAAGAAATAATTTTAAATAATTTTTCTGTTCTCAATACATGCGGTTTATTTGCTGATAAAGCAACAATTAATAAAAGCTACTTATCCGCTCTAATTATCCAATTCCACTCTGTTATAAGCCACACCTGTACGATGCAATCTATCGTACATCACTAAAGTAAGTTAACGTCTATCTACATCATAAAAAAAACATATGAACAATTCCCTTGTATATACTTTACCTATGAGTTACGATTGTCAAGAACGCATAGAATACTAGTACCAGAGTTTTAGCAAATACCAATCAATATTATTGAGACCACTATGCACCAACTACAGAGCATAGCCCGATTACTTTGGTATGCGGGAACTACATAAAACAATAAACAAGTTGTGTGGAAAACCAAAATAAGTGAACATTGTGGTTGATTACCGTATTGTAATTAATCGGTAATTACTTAGTAATCAGATTTTCTCATCTTAAAAAAATTAAAAATATGAATAAAGTTATTTTTTCCATTGTTTTAAATTTTATGTAATAAGTATTGCAATACGATACTGAATTTAAAACTTGCTTGTTATTTGCAACCGAATGACTGTATACTGTGAGTCTACATGAGAAATTATTCGATTTATACAAAAATTCCAAAGTTAAATTATTAGATACGTTATTTAATTATAGTATACCCACAAGTTCTTGTTGATGCATGTTTGTTTGTAAGTACACTGCTAAACATCTAATCCACTGCTAGCAGTGGATTTCTCAATAAAAACTAACTCTCTATAAATGGAACATACGCAATATCTATTTATACGATTGTTAATAAATTATGAAAAAAATTTATTAATTTGATTTTTAATATCAAATTATTCTTAATATAAACTATTATTTTCAATAGAGAGGGATTCCGAACCAATATAAATTACAACAATAAAATTTTATTATTTTATTAATTAATTGAATTTTTGGCTAACCATACAACTGTTTCGAGTATTGCAAAATATCCATCATTAGTACTCTTGGAAATACTTCTTGTATTTAATTAATCGTAAATAGTTTTTTGAGATTGCAAGTACCAAGGGTTGAACTCGTACCCTGCCATATTTGAAGCATAGAGTCAGTGTTTATACTTGACTTTTATGTTTGAACTTTAAGTTTTGTTAATTTGTTGTGAAAATTCATTAACAAATTCACTTGTTATGGTTTATTACAACGAAATCATGAACCAGCTGTAGAATAATTGAAATATTACATTATATTTTTTATTTTTAAGTGTAAAATATCAATACTATTTATTTATTAAATAATAATAGCATTATTCTTACTATTAGTATTATTAGTATTACAAAATAAAAATGAAATGTCAGTTTAATAAAGATCTGATGCTAGAGCTCCAGCGCGAATATCTTCAAATATGCACTATATAGTAAACTCATAAGAATACTCTATAGAATTAGAATTCATTGTAAATCACTTGTGTGCAAAATGTAGAAAATAAGTTAGATACATTATGAGTTAAAATGAGATATAAACAAGATATTAGTGTATTAATAGCTCTAGTATTAGTTTCCGCTTAAATAGTTAACCTTAGTCTGTATTCGCAATCAGTTTTCTAAATCAGTCCAAAAAGTCTATTACTAAATGCATTGTGGTCCTGAAAATTGAATACTGAAGGAATGGTCGTATTTTATTCACTTGGATATTGCTTTAATCAAATTTAACCAAAATTTATGTGTTCATTGATATCTCTAGATACTTTGCATATATTTGATAAGACTTACTATAACTAAAATTTTTATTGAAAGGTTTGGCAAGATGTAAATTACTAGGCTAAGAGTATTATATTAGGGGATAGCAGATCAAAATACAGAATTTTGAACCAATAACTAAAAGTATTTTTTTTTCAAATACAGAACAAAAACGATTATTTAATTTTATTTATTTGGCAAAAACACTTATAGTGATTTGTGTGAATGTTATTTCATCAGTTGTGAAGAGACGCCATTTTTCTTAATGGCAAATATTCTCTTTTTTCATCCTATCCAGTTACTTACTTTCATCATATCCTACATTTTTGAAACTATTTAAGTAAAACTCACATAAGTAAACAATTTAAATGATATTTAATAAAAAAAACAATACATGTTTAAAAATACAGATAATGTAACATATTTAATTACAGAATGGTCCATATTTCGCAAATAGGTGGACTTTTTTACAAATATTTTTTTTCTGGTGATGTTTTCTTTGACATCAAATATTGTAAACAATATCCAAAATATAGCTCTCAATCGCTCTCATAAGTTTTTTTCCTTCATCATAGTAATGCCTGTTGATAATAACACATCATTGTTAAGAGTTACAGTTGTACTTGGTGGGGGATCTGGAATAAATTGAATATAAGAGTGTAGTTATAAATTATTTATATTACTTACAGCCAATGTCAGAACAAACTGTATTTTCATTTACAGTTATTTTGGTAAGCTTTGGATACTCCGTTTGACTTGCAAATATTAACCGATATTCTAATAGATTGCTGTCGAAAACTTTTTTAACTGTATTTTCGGCGCTTTCAGCTAATTGAAGTCTATGTTTAAACTGAATGTAAAAAATTTAATTAAAATCAAGAAGTTGCTTTAAACACTTTGAGTAACAAAACAGTTCAAAAGTTCTCTTTGCAATATCTATATTCTGACAATCCATAAACTATTAAGACTTTGAAAACCAGCTTCCATCAAGATATGGCTGAGCTATTGCCAGTTATGTACAGGTAAGTTATCGAAAATTACATCAAAAGGATTCAGTGTCAAGAGCTGTTTACTAAGAAATATATCAATTGTATATCTCAACCAGAAGATCGCACTAACTGGGAACTTTTATAGTTTCTTGATCTATATTTCCACTAACTTATAAATATTAATAAAAGAGGTATCCAATTTAGTTACTCTCCTCAATTCCTCAAAAGTAATTAAAAGTAAAAAACATACCACCGAGCTCACTTCGAAGAATAGTTTAGAAAGATATATAATAATAAGAGTACAAATTTTTGTGAATCAAAGTAATTATTATACATCTTAAATTTTCTATTCTGTTATAAGCCTTATAAGCCACAGTAAGCTAACATCTATCTAGTGCATAAAGAAATAATAAATGATTCCCATTTATTGTAGAATAGAGTAGAGTAGAACAGAGTAATCTACTCTCCCCATAGTTTGTAATTACTAAAAATGAATTTATTGTTTATATCAGAATTGTATGGAGAACCAGTATATATTGTGAAGGCAACTGCACAGGAGTTAAGAGGCTTAAATGAAATATTGCCCTAAGGTAATTTGTAGTCCAGTTACAGTTTTGGTTAAAAGGTATTTTCTGCATTAGCTTAGTGTAAATTATTTACCTTAATTTGTTTTCACAATAAACGTCTTCTAAATGGATCAAGAAGTCTTATTACTGAATCCACGAGTGATCCTGCTATATACTATACTTCGATATTGTTTTAAAGAAATTTAACCGAAAAGCATGTCTTAATTGATATCTCTAGATACTATATACACTTTTGATGAGAGCTTAGATATTTTAAACGTTATTTAAATATTTATATGTAACATAGTGAAGATTAATATGTAATGAAGTAAAGTACTACACGAAGAATTCTATATTAAGGGACAACAAATATTATATCTATATATAACACTAACTTACTATAGTTTTAAAATGTTAGTGCATAAATTTGTAAATTCTTAAAGAAAGCTTTTTCTCTAGAGAAAAAGCATGATAAATGCTAAACAAAAACAAAAAATAATAACAATATGAATGAAGTTTTTCGGAAAAATGATCCAGAAGTATTAAAAAAGTTTTTGTGGACAAGCATTTTTAAACTTATTAAACTAAGTTTTTATACTTATATAATAATATAAAAAATATATTATTATTATTTTTTCAGTAAAAAAACTAAGCGCTTTTAATAATGAAAAGTAGTATGTGCTTTAAAATATGGATAAAGTAACATCTTTATTCGTAAAATGGCCGTTAATATGTTTGCTCGGGCAGTCTTTATTTTCATTAATATTCATTTTATTTCAGTTAAGTTTTGCTCTGTCATAAGAGTTATTTTAGCGACTTATGCGAGTTAGTAAAACAAATGTATATATACATGAAAAATATAAAATTATGAATGTGTATTTATATGTGAACACTTACAAAATAATGATATAAACTTAACAAAAATATCTAATTCACTTTTAATAGGAATTGATTACACTCTAGATACATATTATTTAAAAAAAAGCAATTTGTAATGATTTTTAATGTGAAGCAATAATATATATAAAAACAATGTGTACCCGTATTACAATTATTATATGAATTCAATAAATAGTTAATTACGTTCTTTGTGTCACGTTGATTAACAGTGACTGTGAGATGTACTCTCTTATCGGTGATATCTTGAGTGGGTATAGTAATTATTCCATACGCTTCGTTGGCATCAGTGACATATTTAAATAAATCCGGGCAGGCAACAGATGGCTGCTCCATTTCAGATAAAGTAGCTAAACTGTACTTAAAAGCTACCGCCATAAATATTATATATAATTTCACAACTTCCATTATAGAGATTTTTTGATAGACTATTATAATTATGAAATTATATTCATATAAATTAAAATTTTTTACGCTTAAAATCACTTATCACTTCTTGTTTTAAACTTTTCAAGTGTTAACTAAATATCTGACTACTTCGATGTGCGGAAACTAAAACAATAAAAAAGTTATTCTGACATTATTATACTATAAATACTGCAGTTGATTATATGTTGTGTTATTAATTATTTATTAATTTCTCACCAATCAGGTTTTTCCATCTTTCTCAGAAATAATACAAATATGTATTAAATTTTATTTACACTGTTTTGATTTACACGTAAACAGTATTCCAATACTAAATTGGAATATAGTTTATTTTATGTAGATGAATGGCTATGTACTATGAGTATCTAATGTCAGAATAAGTCATTAGATTAATGCAATGTATATAACAGTGCTTCGCGTACTGATCTGATGTGAGTAATAGCTGTATGTTTAGTTATAGGAGCACTGCTAAACATCTCAACAAAAAATTTAAAGCAGAAATTTTTTAATAAAAAGTTACTCTCAGTAAACATCTCTCTATACGATTGTTAATACATTGCATCAAAAACTACCAAAATAATTATTAATTTTAAGTAAAACCAGATGCTTGCAATGTAAGCATTTTCAAATAAAGACTCATGAAAATACACTACAGAACTAGAAATTATTGCAAATAACTTGCTTATAAAAATTTATTTTCGTTATGTATAGTTGCTGTATACATTATATCAATAAAAAATTAAATAAAATTTCTCAGTTTCTCAGTTTGTTTCAAATCGTTCGTCATTAAAATTATCGGAAATTCTTTCTAATATTGCATGTCAATGCTTGGTGTGAAATATTGTTTACATAATATAATACTTATCCAGATATATTTGAGATTTTTTTATATCTGAGTGTAGCTTGCCATTACTTATTAGTTTTGAGCCAACAAAATAATGTAATTTTGTTTCGCTATATACAGCAACAAACTAAAATCTTTATTATACATATATTGATAATACTGCAAAATCTTCAAATGTACTAAAATTCAAGAGTTTCGATGTTTTACGTACATTATTATTACGATATGCTTTGCGAAATTCAGAAAATTTGAGGCAAAATTTATTTTATGATCTCTTTCGACAATAGAGCTGATTTTCTTGCAGTGTCTTAAAAAATCAAAGCTAGGAAAGCTGTGTAAAATTTAACGGAGGTCAGAAATTAACTACTACATAATATCATAATATTAAATTCCACAACATTACAAATTTTCTAGTAAGCCCCAGAAACAAATACTAATCTCATTAATAGATGCTTCAAAATATATCCATCATAATTTTCTAAGAGCAGCAGAGAGTAAATGAAAAACTGAAATGGACTCCGAATTACGCAAACAAACGCTGTCATGCTACAATCTATCAAGAGCGAAAACCCCAATTGACAGAGCCAATATAGAGGTGGTAAAACTTCTGACAGTACTGATGATCACTGGTCAGTGGGCACCGATTCCGAAAAATTGTACGTGCCATTCAACCAGTCCGTCAGTTTTCGCAAATAATTTCAGGACTCTATCCTTTATATATTTTTTTATGGGATCAATCTTGAGGTCCCTGAGGCTTGTGAAAGTATTTTACTTAATTTATATTTCGAATACATTATTTAATGCCATGATAAATAACACAACTAAATTTTTTTTTAGGATTAGAGATTAAAGTGCCTTAAAAATTCAAATTTATATGTGAAAATAAAAATTTAATATTTTAAAAGGTTTTATTTTTTGAAGAAAATTAGTGCCAAGTAATTTAATATTTAAACTGTATTATATCCAAACAATTTATTATGGAGTTATAAACCACAAAGTATAACATTTCTACATTTTTAATACCACTTTAAAAAATATTTAAATAAGCAAAATGTGTGATTTGAACACTTGAAAAATAAAATAATTTAAGTACATCCATTTGAGTATAAAATGATATTTAGATATTTAATAAGGTTACACTTAAAATACTTAATAAGCTTTTGTTTCTTCTACGAAAATTTTAAATGAGAACAATATAATAAATAAAATTATTTAAAATTATTTAAAAAATTATTTAATTTTAATTATTTAAAATTATTTAAATTATTTAAAAGAAAAGTATAAATTTCAAACAATAAAGAATACTATATTTAGCTATGATTGGTATATAAAAAAATAGATTGTGATTTTACTTACACTCAATTGAACATTGATATATAATATGAAGGAAAAATAAAAAAAAATATGTCTGTTTTAGATTATCCAACGCTTTAGTAGATTCTTTATAAAAATGGAGGCCTTTATCTTATATTCTTTGATTTTAAAAATACATGGTTTTTTGTGGACTGCCCTTGATGCGGAGGTATCCCTACAAAAATCGTAAACATTATTAAAAGCAGCTATGAAGGTGCCTCTTGCCGTGTTCTAGATAATGGCATACTCAGCGAATTTTTCTTATCTATAAGCAGAGTAAAATAAGGATGTGCTCTATTTTCATTTTTCTTTATCACAGCCTTGCAGATGATACAGCGATCCTTACCACTGGAAACACAATAAACGAATCAACAGAAGCAACGCAGCATTCCATTGATCAAATTATTAGTTGGACTAAAAAATGGAAAATTGAGCTCAACCAAACGAAATCCGTCCATGTAAACTTCACAAACAAAAAAATTGACTATTTGCCGATAAATATGTGCAGTGCTCGAATACCATACTCAAACACAGCTAAATACCTTGGCATGAACTTAGATGCTAAGTTAAAATGGAAAGAACATATAAAGAAAAAACGAGTTGAATTAGAATCCAAATACAAAAGTTTATATTGGCTTCTTGGGAACAAATCACCCGTCTCTCTAAACAATAAATTAATGATATACAAGCAGGTCTTAGCTCCGGTGTGGACGTATGGAATCCAGTTATGGGGATGTGCACCAAAATCCACTATTCAAATCATTCAAAACTTTCAAAACAAAGTTTTAAGAAACTTAGTCAACGCTCCGTGGTTTATTAGGAATACTGCCCTCCATCGGGACTTGAAGATCGAATCTGTGGCTGCAGTAATCCAGAAGTTCGCGGTAAAGCACCAAAAACGATTAAACAGCATCCAAACGAGACAGTCAACCATCTGTCTAATACATCTGGCCTGCTGAGAAGACTTAAACGAACAAAGCCATCAGATCTACTCCCGAATTAGTAGTCTAATAATAATTTAGATTACTACTATTAACACTAAGTCTTTGACAACTTCACAATTCTAATAAGTATACTGAAATGTAACAAAACTGCTTGATAGTTCTTGTATGAACTAGTCGTAGTCAAATGAAACATGTATTTATATTATTGTAAATATTGTGTTTCAAATAATAAAAAAAAAAAAAAAACAGCCTTGGATGCTATACTAGAAACTTCCATCATGAAACAGAGAGGCATAGATTGGAGACTGTGTAATAAACTAAATGACCTTGTATATGGTGATGCCCTGGTTTTTATATCTAACTATCACACAGACGTACAACCACATATAACACAATTCGAAAATGAATGTACAAAAATTGGTCTCAACAACAATATTAACTAAACGAACTCTATGCGTAACTACGCTAACAATGATGCTGAATTTACTATACCTTGGAACAATTTTAACCATGGACGGTGGTGCTCTCGACGACGTTGCCAACCGGCTTTGTAAAACTAGATGTGCGTTTGTCCACTTAAACAATTTCAGCGAAATCAGATAGCTGCTCTAGAATGGAATTTGCAAGGAAGAAATCACGGTCGACCAAAAATTACACGGAGAAAAACAATCAACAGAGAATCGAGCATATTTTTCAGTGGACGAAGAGCTATAGCGCATGATCGAGATAGTTTGAAATCTTTTGTAATTAGATAAAGTTCTTGAATTGATATTTTTAAACATGCCAATAATAATAACGCTTTAATATCCTTTACACAAGTTGTACATTCATTATTTTTACTATTATCAATTTATATTATATATATATAAATTTTGCATATATAAAACCTTTTCGTACCAATTTGGAAATATGGTTTCGGGAAATGGAATATTTTAATTAAATCCAATTTATAAATAATTCTACGACTATAATTGAAAATATTTTTAACAATCATAAATGTTAAGTAGTATGTGTCATATTAAGAAATCTTTAGCAACTTAATAAGTAAACTTTTTACACTAATTTTACAGATATACGACAAAATTGTAAAAATCATGTCAGTATTGTATGTAGGTTACGGATATGCGAAATGGGTTTTTACAAAAATTAATTCCTCACTCTCGATTTGGATGAGTTTTTATTTTAAAACTTTACATTAAAGTAATTACTCCTGGGGGCGTATTATTCTTGGAATTATTTTTAAAAAATTAATTATACGAGCAACTACTTTTTGAGAATCTTTTCTATACATATTTTTAATTTATATTTTTTTACTCAGTTTGATTGACATTAATTTAATCTTTGTTTTAAGATTAAACCTTAACTGAATTGAGTAGTTAATGAAGCAGCAAATTCTTTGTAATGTATGCACTAATACGTTTGTTTGTTATTGAATGGAATTATTACAGTATTATTTTTTTTGATTTTTAAGCCAAGTATAAAACATTTGACCTATTTACAGGTTAGCATAAATAGTTGGAATGCCACTCAGTTATTCAAATATATTCTATTCATGTAAGCACTCCTTTAAGTGTATCCAACATGATATCAGTTAAGTTAGTCAGCCTAGTTAAAAATAAAAACTAATTAGCAATATTCTTAATCAAGGACTTATGTTAGAATAATCGATATTAATCCTTATCTATAATATTATAGCATAATGATTAATATGGAATGTAATTAGTTAAATCAGACGGTTTGGTTCTCTTAAGCAGTCATATGAGGTCTTCTGTTTGAAGGAGTGATGATTATTTCAGCAACTGTCGGAACGTCTTAGGATGTTGTTCTGACATCGTTGGATTATCGGCCTATTTGACTCAGACTTGCGACCAATACAGCTTTAGGGCTGTATTTTTTGACCGGATCTATTTTAAAGTCTCTTAGCATGTCATTCGTGCGGATGTACCATGGCACTTTGAAGAGTCTTCAGAGAGCCTGACTTTGAGCAACTTGCAGCTTCTAGATACTAGAGTTGACAGCTTTGTTATACGCGACATACCCATAAAGTAGTGCTGGTCTTATTGTCGGGTTGTAGATCAGCTTTCTGTTCTTCGCTTTGCAGTGTTTTTGCACAACTACTACTTTTGACTTGTATGTGCTTGTGCCAAATGAACCGCTTATCAAAAGTGATTCCTAGGTATTTAATGCTGTCCTCCCAATAAATAGCGATATCATCCACTCTCACTCTCGGTGGATGCTGCCTGTGTTTACAAGTAATAAACAGGGCTTTAGTTTTCTCATTGTTGTCGTCCAAGTAGCCAC